AGGGAGCCCCAGAGCTGTTCGTCGCTGACTTTGTTGACACACCGCCTGCCCAAGGCAAGTCCCGGTGCATAACCCATATTTTAATGATCACTGAATATATATATGATGATGCATTTATGTTACAGTCATTTTATGGAAACTACATGCATAAATATACTTACCTATGAATCCTACTAGTATAGGTCGAGTAGCTGCCATGCTCAGGGTATCGGTAGCGCGAGTAACCTACCGTTACTCGCAATAGATGATAATTATGATCACTCATGATAAAATGTTGGAAATGAAAATAGTGACCGGGTAGGGATATGGTTTGGGTATTGGTAGGTGTAAGAGGTTGTGTCCTGCGGCCAACAGGGCATAGTTTGGTTACACTTTTTCCCTGTCTGTGTCAGTTAAGGACCGGCCATTGCATTAGGCTCTAGGCAAGTCACAGATTTATTATCCTGAGCACATACTTGGGTATGTGCGCAGGGAAGACTTGTTGCTCTCTTGTCATGGGTTTCGGCTCTTTCTGGACCGACTGATTGGAGGCGGGGATGGTGGAGGTCCTTGCACCGCACTGAGTTCGGGACTCAGGAGCAGGGGCTTAGAGTCCAAGTTTTGATGGGGACCTAGACCCCATGACAGGAGGGTGATGGGTTGGTCCTGCTTGCACCTGGGGTACAAGCGGGGCGTGTGTTTTCGGGGTACCCAGCTAGGGCATTGATTCGTGAATCGCCGGCGTTCTGGTATGGCTTGTCTATGGTCTAGCACCGTAGTAAGAACTGAAAGATGGAAGGTGATGAAATAGAACTGATTGCTCAACTCTTACTTGAAAGTAGAATATGTGCTTACATAGAATGGCTAGATAATAAATTAATCATGGCTGCTAATAATAACATAAATAAGGACTCACTATTAGTATTGCTTTCTGTAAAAAGGAAACCAACAAACCATAAAGCTTTGCATATCCCTTGGAGTCGGGAAACTATTTCCACTAGTCGGATAAGTCTTGCGAGTTCATTGCGTACTCAGGGTTTATTTATCCCTATTGCAGGTAATGCTTGAGGGGTACTATTGTGTGAAGGATTCTTCTGGTGGGCACAGACGAATCCTTGTTCATGATCGATAGATGTTTATTTTTAATTCCGCTGTTTAATATTCCGCACTCTGACTTTGGAAATGTAATAATGTAATTTTAAGAACTCTGGATGTATGAAATGGATTAAGTATTGTAACTCGTTCTCATTATTGGATCCTTGGGAAAAAATGTGGATCTTTCGGGTTCTCCCTTGGGGTGTGCCCGACGGATACCGCCCGCTGTAGCTTACTTTTGGGGTGCTTAGTGTCTGGTGGAAGACGAGCGCCTCTGTAAGCGTGTTATTTCAGGCAGTTCTGCCATAGGTACTCTCTGCCACCTCCCTCCCTGGCTTCTTTGGGCTCGAGCGACTGTGTTTCTTCCTACCCTTTGTCATGGATCGGATTTGATTCGATTTGGCTGCGATTTCGATTGCGGAGATGTTGGGTTGCAGCTATTGCAGTGTGCTAGAAGGTGAAGCACCGAGTACTCTACGGTTGCGAGGAAGAAGGTGGGCTAATACGGAATGAGGAGAGTGCGCCGCCGTGGGTGGATTGAAGCAGTTCGACCCCGACCCTTTTATCTTTAGGTTTTTTGGGAAACCACGCTGACCCCGCCGCATTGTTCGCCCCCCTCCGCAATATTTGCTGCACCTCCTTCGCGCTCCTCCAACTTCTTCGTCAATTGTTGTTGGGCTGCTATAATGGGCCTACAGGCATACTAAACGGCTGATTTGGTTAGTTTTGTATTACTAGTTTGTGTGGGTCAGATCGTTGTTCAAGCAAGTAAATAAAGGAGAGTTGGAGGGAGAGGATAGGTTCATAGGTATTGTTGTTTTGCAGCCTAAGAGCGTCTCCCATAGCCATTTTAAATCTTACTCTCTAAATCATTTAAAAATTAATTTCTATATATTGTTATCTTTCAACAGTTTTTTTATATCTCGTGGGCACTATAGAGAACTATCCTCGTCTTCTATTTTTTTGTTAGTGAAAAATCCGGAATAAAAGATAATTATATTTAGATAGCCATTTAGAAAAGATGTTGGAGGATATTTTTTCACTAAAAAATCTCTATTCCTGACATTTAGAAATGATATAAACAACCTCTTCCTGGAGTTGCTCTTACCTGCTTTTTATGCTTCTCGGTGATCCCGTGGCCGTGGAGTCGTACTGCTATAACTTGTTGTACAATTTTTAATCTAGTAGACTAGAGACTAGCTAGGCAAGCTACTCTTCATTTAGTGCACCCGCAATTGGTGACTTATAAGTTAGCTCTAAGTTTTTTTTTCATATTTTAATGGAAGATAGAGAAAAATTAGCTCTTGATTAAGAGCTAGACTTATTCTAGCATTTAAAATTTGTCCTCAAATATAATGCATTCTTGAAGATAAAAACTAATTTTACATTAAATACTTTGCATTTAGGAACCAATCACCAATAATCACGTTGATGGTAGCGTCTGATTAAGAAATAAAATGAGGGTACATGCGTCTTTTATTTTTTTCTCTTAATTTGTCTTAAAATTTCTAGAATACACTATATTACATAACAAAGGAAGTATATGCTAAAAGTTAGCATTATTGAAGAAGTTGACTTTCCCGGACCCATAAGGAGAGCGACCGAGGCGCCGCGCACGCCAGCGCGTCTGATCTCCGATAATGGCTATGTAGTATATATGATTAGCGAGTAATAGCCCATAATCTCCTTATGCTAGGGAGGACAGAGCCGATTGTATAACATTAACATCCTCACCCTAGTGTGCCATATTCGTGGCGTCGATCTTAATACAAAAATACGCAAACCTTTTACATATTCGAGAAAAAAGAGCTAACTAGCTTAGAGCACTCAGAGTGCAAGAAACTATTAGCACTTTCTATAGCATAGGTCATTGTTTCAATAAACTATTCTTCCCAATGCTTGATCTTCTATAGCATAGGACATAGGTAGTGATAGAAATCATGTTTGCTCTCCTAATGTGGTTAGAGTAGTTTCTTGTCCATCGATAACCGTGAAGACCCAATTCTTTATTTAGACTTGGTTTCTTGATTTTTCTTTTTCTCCTCGTTAAATCACTTGTCACGTCAGTAAATCATCCACATGACACTGCAATTAATATTGATATCTATAAAAACCACCCTACTTTCTAGTGCCCTTTTACCGTTGCGGCTGCCCTTTATGCAGCAGCTTCATCGGCCGCTCTGTGCCTCTGTTTCGAGCCTCCCAAGTAGCTACCCCCTCTTCAAGCTGCTGTTAATGCAAAGATATTACTGTTCTGAGACCTGGGCGTGGAATATCATACAGCGCCCCGGCGGAGCGCCGCCCCTCTCCGGCGAGGAAACAAAACTGACGTGTTTAATGTGACCCCGAACATTTTTACGCATGCGCTTCTTTCAGCTAATAATAAATCACCGGCATAAGATTCCTTTTGAACCCTCGTTAATGGCGCCAGCGTCGTTCGGGGAGAAAACCCCAACTCCGCTCACCGTCTCCATTAGCGCCCCAATCCACGCCCCCCACTTCCGCCCTGAGACCCCCATATAGCGCGTCGCCATTCGTCTTCCGTCGAGTCCCGCCGGAGGCTACCGGGCTGGCATCGCCCACCGTCGTCTCTGCTCCGCGCCTCCGCCCGTTTTCCTCCGCCTCCGTGCTCCAGCCAGGTTCGCCGTTCGTCGAATCCAGGAGCGCCTCCCCTCGCGTCGTCCTTGCTTCCCCGAATTTCATCCGCCTCGGTGCTCCAAGCAAGGCTCGGCGGCCGTCGAATCCCGGCCGGACCATTACTGGCGGTTAGCATCGCTCCTCTCCGTCTCTGCTTCCCGTTACTCCAGCTCCTACACACAAGTTTTGCCGCCGCTACTGGCCAGAGAAGACCACGGATTCGCCTCCAACAATCTCCGTCTACTATCCTCAGAGAAGATCCGAGGGTCGCCCCTAACAACACCTGCCAAGAACTCACGGAGAAGAGACTGGAATCGCCCCCAACAGTACCCACCTCCACATGGAAGAGATCCACAATCGGTGAGTATCCTGGAGTCCTTTTATTGGCGTGGGAAATAAATTAATCCCCCATATGCATTCAGTTCTATATTTTGTTTGTATTCTTTGAACCAATCTCATATCAATTTTTGTTGAGCCATTGACACCAAAGCATTTTATTACTGCCCTACCCCTAGCAAATGGACCAGTGATACTCGTTTTGCTGTATTTTATTTATCCATCAGAAAGCAATGGAATTTTATCCTTGTCTCACGTTTGGGAATAAAATTCACACCTGTACTCACGCCCTAATTTGCAGGGCTGAGAGGTAACAGTGTTCTGTTCCTCTGTTATTTATCCTCACGATGCTTTGGTAGTTTTCTTTACCTCAGTTAATAATTAATTCATTAGCTGCACAAGTAGGTTAATTTTCATTGATGAGGGAAATGCAAACTGTGTCCATAGCTGAACCAAATTTGATATCCATGGAGTCCTCTTGTTGGTGTATGAAATAAATTAATTACCCTTTTTGAATTACAGTCCGATATCTTGTTCATATTTCTTTCAACCAATCTCATATAGATTTCGGTTGAGCCAATGTCATCAATGCATTTTATTACTGCCCCACCCCTAGTAAAATAGATCAGCGATGATTGTCTTGCAGTATTTTATCCATCAGAAAGCAATAGTAGTTTATCATTGTCTCACGTTTGGGATTAAAATTCACACCTGCACTATCACCTTAACCTGCAGCAGGGCTGAGAGGTAACAGTGTCTTGTTGCTCTAATCTTTATCCTCACAATGCTTTGGTAGTTTTCTTTTACTCATTTAATAATTAAATCCATAGCTGCACAAGTAGGTTATTTTTTAGTGATGATGGACATAACAGTTCCTGCTTCCTCTCATACACCGCAATTCACCCTTAAGGCCTTAACTGCTTCTTTTCAGTGTGATCCACCCTCGGTGCAAGATGAAGCAAAAACTTGATCATGTTCCTGAACGTGTTACAACAATTACTATATCAAACAGCCAGCAGTTTTATGAGATTCAAATTCCACTTTCAGCTGGAGACAATGGTGGCATGGCAAGCTCAGCGAACACCAATGCAGATGGTACTCATGATGCATCTAGTTCAATTCATGAGCGTGTTGTTCCAAGACACCACCAGAAGAAAACCATACCAAAGAAATTTCAACAGAAGGGGGCTCAGTGTTCTTCTGCAGCAACCCCAAAGAGGAGAGCACCCCATACCTCACAGCATGAAGACCTGCTTTCTAGTCCGACCAGTCGCTCACCAATGCTGGCTGCATCACAAGACAACGACGACGATGTGAGTTCAGGTTTACTGCTTTATCAATCTCCCATTTACTAATGATTGTATACGTTTGATATATTTCAACTCCATCTAGGATTTCGAACCAGCAATAAAACGCCCAAGGCCGAAGGTTCCTGCTCACAAAGATCCTAAATCAAAGAAATCTTCACTTCCATCCATACAGGAAGAGGTGAGCTAAACTGGCTTTACACATGCAGATGTATAACTATCCAGTTATATGTCCACACTAACATAATTTTACTCCCATAGGACGATGATGGTATACCAGGCAAGATTAACTGCCGCTGCACTCCCAATCATGTGCTCGACGCCATCAATAAACTTTCAGAACCACAAAAGAATAGGGTTCGCGAGCTTGGTTGGGGTAAATTTCTAGAAATTGCTATAGATTGTGTGGAGAGCAGGAACCTATTTCTTTATTTGCTGGACAGGGTGGATATAAACAGCATGTTTTTACGGGTCCCACCCAACATCGAACTACCTATCAACAAGGCAGCTGTTCATGCTGTGCTTGGTGTGCCAGCTGGCACAGAGGTCATTTCTAAGAAGTCCAGCAAGGAACTTTCTAATGCGAAGAGAGAGCTTATGGCTCAGCTTGGAATTGCAACAAACAAAATCACAGTCCCTCGGCTTTTGGAAGAGGTGGCTAAGGGAAATGCCGATGACCTCTCAATGAAATGCTTCTTCCTCGTGATCTTCAACAGGTTCTTGTTTCCAGGGTCAGCATTTGACATCGCGAACACAGACCTGCAGTTCATTATGGATTTTCAAAACTTTGGCAAGGTTGATTGGCAACAGGCTGTGATAGATCATATCAGAACCTCTGCGAAAGAGTGGCAGTCTCCTGGTGCCAAAAACACAGCTAACCCTACTATTCGATCATGTGCTCCATTCCTCTTAGTAAGTACCATTCATCATGCATTCTATCTCCCCCCTTAATGTATTTTTTATTGTTCATCATGCATCAGCACTCATTTGTCCATGCAGATTTACTACCTCGAGAACCTGGATCACCCACTCAATGACAACAACCACCGGATGGTTGTGCCAAGGGCTGCTGTATTCTCAAAGCAATATATTTCTACGTTGACCAATGCAGATAGGTGGGCCGACAAAGATGATCGCATATGCTACGGCAAACTCCGGGTTCTTTTTATACCACTCCATCTTTTAAAGAACATCCTCTACATTTTTGTTTTTTGATTCCTTCAGTCATACGAGACGTAACACAGCTTGTTTTGCATCCAGCAAAAAAATCCCGTTGGTTCAGCTTACCAAAAGGTATACACCATGCAACATACTGCGGTCCCTGCATCTTTCCAACTACCTCAGTTGAGCGACCTGCTCAGAGGTGTCTTGGATAATGTGGCAGCCAGTTCAAACCCTCATTTGATACAACTTATTACGACAGTCGACCGTGACATCCGTGCCAACCAGAAGGTCATACATGAGCTCCATCACACAAATGAGTGCCTCTTGATCAAGTTTTCAGAAGACGTTAAGGAACTATTTGCAAATGCCCCTACGCCTACAATTACAAAGGTTCAACACACGACCGGACAGCAGACAAGACCAGAGAGTAGTACACGTAACTTACGAGAGCCTACCTTACAGCGTAACGACGGTGGTACACCCCGTTCAACCCAAACTATGAGATTATCCTCTCTTTCACATACTACTGATTTTATTACATGCTCTCATATTTATTGTTTGTTTATTATTGCTACTGCTCCACAACTATTCATACACGGACTACTCTCATTTGTATATATTCAAACTGCAGCACACATATCTTCAGATTTGGCTGGTCCGAGTCATACAGAGACCGCAACAGTGCAAGTTGAACAGCCAGCGGATGCGACACAGCCAATCGCTGGTCCAGGTACATTTTAACCTCATCCTTTTGCATACTAATGTTTTTTAATGCATGTTATTACCAAGCTTACCAATATCGGCCAATTATAATGCATGTTTTCTTATATATTGTCAATTCAACACTATTACTCATACACGTGTTAATGTTATATGTATTTATTCAAACTGCGGGCCACGTATCTTCATATTCAGCTGGTGCGAGACAAGAAGAAACTGTTGCATTTCGAGACGAGCAGGCAGCTGAACAGGAGCAGCCACTCACTGATCCAGGTATAAAATTACGGACTAACCTCCAGATATCCATATGCATAATAGAATCCATACCTCTTAACGTCTGATATCTCGCAGTTGGCGACCATAATGTCAATAACCTGCGTGCTACTACAAAAGGTACACCTCATATTCACGTTCATTATTACCACAGCACCTGTCTTCATTTATTTTACATTTTACTTTTCAAACTGGATGTGTAATCACAGGGGTTGATGTTGTCACAACGGGCCTACACATTCCGACAATGGTTGGCGAGCAGCTTGGGAAGCAGCCCCACGGATCAGCTCACTTAGGTACACGGTTTTATCAACACATGTCTATTTTAATCTACTGACTATTCATAGGGCCCATATCCTGTAAAATAAAACAAAGTAGATTGACAACGGCAAAAAAGATCTTGAAACAAAGATTTTGAAACTCACCCAAAAGATCTTAATAGTATCCCAGCAGTTAGTGAAGTTTCGATGTGCTATTCATTGTCATCTCATTTCCTCCTATTAGTATTAATTTTATATTATTCATGATCCATACAAAGATGCGGACCATTTCTCTTACTAATCAAACACCAAATCAATTAATAATTTTGGATCCATTACTTATACGGTCGGTGAACGTGTACGATTTTTTACTCCGTCTTTGCTGGCGTCGGTAATAAAACACCCATCTGATATTATGAGAAATAAAAACTGATACTATTAGTAATAAAAAATACCGTGTCCAAGACTGATGCCCCGGTGAATAACAATTTATTTTACTGCACATTGGCCCTGACGGAATTATTTATGCACCCAAATGATATTATTAGTAATAAAAAATTCCCTGTCCGATGACCGGACGCCCCGGTGAATGATAGAGTTAATTTTACAGCTCATTGGTCCTGACGGAATTATTTAGAGACTCAAATGATACTATTAGTAATTAGTAACTAAAAAAAAACCCTGTCCGAAGACCGGATGCCCCGGTGAATAACAGAGATAATTTTACTGCTCACCGGTCTTGATGGAATTAATTAGATACCCAAATGGTAGTATTAATAATAAAAAAAATTACTTTTTCCGGAGACCGGTGCCTGGGGTTCGAGTCTTACCGCCTGTGACCGAAAGGTCCCGGGTTCGAGTCGCGGTCTCCTCACATTGCACAGGCGAGGATAAAGCTTGCCACTGACACCCTTTCCCAGACCCCGCACAGAGCGGGAGCTCTCTGCTCTGGAGACGTCCTTTACTTCTTCCGGAGACCATCTGATATACTCTGTTCGGAGACCAGAGGCCCCGGTGATCATCAGTCAATTTTACTGCTCACTGTATTTGACTGAATTATTTATACACCCAAATGATACTATTATGTAATAAACAAATTCCCTGTCCGAAGACCGGACACCCCGGTGAATACCAGAGTTAATTTTACTGCTCACTAGTCCTGACGGAATTATTTAGATAGTCAAATGGTAATACAACAACAACATAGTATTTCAGTTCCAGATAAGTTGGGGTAGGTTAGAGTTGAAACCCACCGAGAGCCCCAAGTCATGGTTTAGGAACTTCAATAGCTGCTTTCTAAATACTCATATTCAAACATAAATCTTTAGGTATATCCCAAGCTTTCAAATCTCTTTTTATTTTCTCGTATGTCAATTTTGGTCTACTTCTACCTCTCACATTATTAGCTTGGCTTAGGCCTCCACAATGCACTGGTGCCTCTGAAGGTCTCTTTTGGACATGGCTAAACCACCTCAACCGATGTTGTACAAGCTTTTATTCAATTGGTGCTACCCCTAGGCGGTGATGTATATCATCGTTCCTAACTCGGTCGATTCTTATGTGATCGCAAATCCATCGCAACATTCGCATTTCTACAACACTCAGTTGTTGAACATGTCGAAAATTTGTAGGCCAACATTCTATTTCATACAACATAGCCGGTCTAATTGTCATTCTATAGAACTTGCATTTTAACTTTTGCGGTACCCTCTTGTCACAGAGAATGCCAGAAGCTTGTCGCCACTTGATCCACCCTTCAGCCGATCTAATCGCCGTTCTATAGAACTTGCCTTTTAGCTTTTGCGGTAGCCTCTTGTCACAGAGAATGCCAGAAGCTTGTCGCCACTTGATCCACCCTTTTTTGATTCTATGGCTAACGTCCGCATCAATATCTCCATCTCTCTGTAGCATCGATCCCAGATACCGAAAGGTATCCTTTTTAGGCGTTACTTGATCTTCCAAACTCACATCTCTCTCCTCTTGTACAACTCCGTCAAAGTCGCATATCATGTATTTGGTTTTAGTTCTGCTCAATCTAAAACATTTAGACTTAAGGGTCCGCCGCCATAACTCTAGTTTTCTATTTACTCCCGTCTGCCTTTCGTCCACTAACACTATATTATCAGCGAACAACATACACCAAGGGATATCCCTTCTATGTTTCTGGTAACCTCATCCATTACTAAGGTAAAAAGATACGGGCTTAAGGCTGGTCCTTGATGAAGTCTAATTTTAATCGCGAAGTAATCTATGTTACCATCGTTTGTTCGAACACTAGTCACAATATTGTTGTACATGTCCTTGATGAGGGTCACGTACTTTGATGGAACTTTATGTTTGTCTAAAGACCACCACATAACATTTCTTGGTATCTTGTCATAAGTCTTCTCCAAATCAATGAAAACCAAGTGGAGGTCCTTCTGCTCTCTAAATCGTTCCATAACCTGTCTTATTAAGAAGATTGCTTCTGTGGTTGACCTTCCGGGCATGAAACCAAATTGGTTTGTTGATATCTGCGTCGTTCCTCACAGGCGCTGCTCGATGACTCTCCCATAACTTCATAGTGTGGCTCATTAACTTAATTCCTCGATAATTAGTACAACTTTGGATATATCACTTATTCTTGTATATTGATACCAATATGTTTCTTCTCTACTCCTCAGACATCTTGTTCGATCGAAAGATATTGTTGAATATCTTGGTTAGCCATACTATAGCTATATCCTCGAGACATCTTCACACCTTGATTGGGATACCATCAGGGCCCATCGCTTTGCCCCCTTTCATCCTTTTCAAGGCTTCTCTGACCTTCGATTCTTGAATCCTCCGCACAAAGCGTCTGTTGGTGTCATCAAATGAGTCGTCCAGCTAAATGGTGGTGTTCTCGTTCTCACCATTGAACAATTTATCAAAATACTCTTAGCATCTATGTATGATCTCATCATCCTTCACCAAAAGCTGCTCCCTGTCATCCTTTATGCCCTTGTCTTTCTATTGCGAGCCTTAGTCATCCTATAAATGTTCTTCTCTTCTTCCTTCGTACTCAAATGTCGGTAAAGGTCCTCATAGGCCCGCTCCTTTGCCTCACTCACCACTAGTTTTGCAGTTTTCTTTGCCACCTTGTACTTCTCTATGTTGTTTGCACACCTGTTATGATACAAACGCTTATAGCACTCCTTTTCCTTAATAACTTTTTGTACATCTTCATTCCACCACAAAGTGTCTTTCGAGTCGCTAAATGGTACTATTAGTAATAAAAAAATACCGTGTCCGAGAATGGTGCCCGGTGAATAACAGAGTTAATTTTACTGCACATTGGTCCTGACATAATTATTTATGCACCCAAATGATATTATTAGTAATAAAAAAAATTCTCTGTCCGAATACCGGACGCCCCAGTGAATAATAGAGTTAATTTTATTGCTCATGGGTCCCGATGGAATTATTTAGATACTCAAATGATACTATTAGTAGTAAAAAAATTCCCTGTGCGAAGACCGGACGCCCCGGTGAATAACAGAGTTAATTTTACTGCACATCGGTCCTGATAGAATTATTTATGCACCCAAATGATATTATTAGTAATAAAAAAATTCCTTGTCCGAAGACCGGATGCCCCGGTGAATAATAGAGTTAATTTTACTGCTCATTGGTCCTGACAGAATTATTTAGAGACTCAAATGATACTAGTACAACAACAACAAAGCCTGTCAGTCCCAAGTAAGTTGGAATAGGCTAGAGTTGAAACCCATCAAGAGCCTCTAGTCGCGGTTCAGGCACTTCAATAGCTGCTTTCCAAACACTTCCACTGAAACATAGATTTTTAAGTATATCTGAAGCTTTCAAATATCTTTTTATTGCATCCTTCTATGTCAATTTCGGTCTACCTCTATCTCCCTCACATTATTAGCTTGGCTTAGGACTCCACAATGCACTGGTGTCTCTGAAGGTCTCCTTTGGACATGGTCAAACCACCTCAATCGATGTTGGACAAGCTTTTCTTCAATTGGTACTGCCCCTAGGTGGTGACGTATATCATCGTTCCTAACTCGGTCGATTCTTGTTTGACCACAAATCCATCGCAACATACGCATTTCTGCAACACTCAGTTGTTGAACATGTCGAATCTTTGTAGGCCAACATTCTGTTTCATACAACATAGCCGGTCTAATCGCCGTTCTATAGAATTTGTCTTTTAACTTTTGTGGTACCCTCTTGTCACAGACAATGTCAGAAGCTTGTCGCCACTTGATCCACCCTGCTTTGATTCTATGGCTAACGTCCGTATCAATATCTCCATCCCTATGTAGCATCGATCCTAGATAATGAAAGGTATCCTTCTTAGACACTACTTGACCTTTTAAACTCACATCTCCCTCCTCCTGTGCAGCTCCACTAAAGTCACATCTCATATATTCGGTTTTAGTTCTGCTTAATCTAAAACCTTTAGACTCAAGGGTCTGCCGCCACAACTCTAGTTTCCTATTAACTCTCGCCTGGCTTTTGTCCACTAACACTATATCATCAGCGAACAACATACACAAGGGATATCCCCTTGAATGTTTTTGGTAACCTCATCCATTACCAAAGCAAAGAGGTAAGGGCTCAAGGCTGACTCTCGATGAAGTTATATTTTAATCGGAAAGTAGGCTGTGTTAGCATCAAATGATACTAGTACTGATAAAAAAAATTCCCTGTCCGAAGATCGGACACGCCCCAGTGAATAATAGAGATACTGTTAGGTTGAAATATAAATCAATAATATCCAGGCAGTTTAATGACTTCTGATCTGCTGTTGATCATCATATCATGTCCCCCAATCAGTATTTAATAAACAATATTCTTAACACATACAAAGTGGCGGACCATTCGTCTTGCTAAACAAATCAACAGAATAATTTTTTAAGCATTACTCATACGTCCCATGGACGTGCCTACTTTTTACTGATGTGTTGGGCGGCGTCATTAATATAACCATATACTACTGCATGGCTGTTCCTGCTTGTTCCGAAATATACACTACATGCAAGTTGTGTTTTGCGCCTATTTATGCCCATAATCTTTACCACCGCAACTACGGTAGTATTATTCTGCCCCAAATGCATGTATTAATTAAGACCAGCAATAGTAATTTTGCATTCCAGTGACCCTACATTTGAGACTGAATAGTCGCTACGCACCGCTGTTACTACACATTGAATGTTATTAATACGCTGGAAGGAATATAAACATCATATTCTTCATCTGTCTTGCACGCACCGGTCTTCATTTTTATCACAAAGATATGGGAGGCCACCATGAGGACAGTCTTATTCGCAAGGAGCACCGGCAGGCTGCTGCAACGGCATCACGTAGCACGAGGGGTCCATTATCGTCTATGCAGCCACCAGTCACAGGTAGTCAGACTGGAGCGTCTCAAGCATTGCCCATGCTCATACCCATACCCATACAGGTCACTCCAGAAGATCTCGATCATGAAGACGCCACCGACACACCTGCTACGCCACCAGCTACGCTCTCAGCTGCTGAAATCGTCACACCCGAAGTTGGGAAGACATACACACATGTGAGCCTTTTCGTTTTTATATTTTACTCACCTTTTATGATAAAAAATAGTATTTGTTGTTTAAAATCTTTGCTTTTTCTCAACAGCCCCCGACATTGCCAGAGGATATGATCCCAAAGGTGGGGATGTTTTTCGACACTGAAGAGCATGCATACGAGATGTTCAGGAGATATGCCGAAGCAACTGGTTTTCCAATTAAGTGGGATAGGAAAAAACATACTGTAAGGGACATATCCTGCTCAATGTCTGGAACATGGAAATACTATAAGCCTGAACAACAGCGCACTCGCAATAAGTTCACAAAGAAGACCGGCTGCAAGGTTTACATGAAGCTCAAACATGTGTCTGACATGGAAGGTAATAACAATGGCAAGGTTATGATAGACAAGATACGGCTTGACCATAACCATCTACTGTCAGACACACCTTGGGTAACAAAGCAAATGCGCTGCCACAAGAGAAGAAAAACATGTAATGGATTATGTGGATCACCTTAATGAGCACAATGTACCAAGTACTGCTGTGAGGTCAATTCTTGGTGACATGTACGGAAATTAAAAAAAATGACAAGTGGGCCATACCTAGCTGAGTATTTGTTGGCTCGTTCTAATGGATAGTGGTTTAGTTGTTTGTGACGAGTGATAAAATAGGAGTTATCGGCAGAGTTGAACATAATACATTTTATTAAATAATCTAAAAACATTATAGACAGATGATGCAACGTGGACTGGATTTAAATGAAGAAACCATGCTTGTGTTTGAAGTAAAAAAGAAATATTATCTAAATGTGAATTGGATAAATGTACCTGTTCTCCAAGTCTTTCCTAGTAATAATGTATATATGTAAAATAAAACAAAGATTTTGAAACTCACTTTCTGTATCTTCGCCTTAGCCTTCGTAAATGCAAGTTCCAATATTCATGAAAGTACTTCTTTCCATGTAGATGTATATATATTGGTAATATAAAGTGACCCATTTTTTTACATATTATAATATGTATAGGGCATATTTTTTTTTACATTTTATTATGGCCGATTCTAGCGCCTGGACATTCGGTGCCATGAGAGTGTCCAGACGTCGGCCCCTTCCCAAAGCCTCCTCCCCCCCCCAGCGTGGAATAGAACAGAACCCTAGCCGCCCCCCACGTATAGAATGCAATAGAACGAAACCCGCCCCCTGTCCTATGCTCCCCACTGTGCCCCTGTCCTCCGTTTCCCAACGCACCCGTTCCCCCACCGCGCCCCTGTCTCGAAAAAAAGCATGAAACACTTAAGTGCAACATTCCAAACATATGAAAAAACTATATAGTGCAACATCGGGATATAAATACTGTAACATCGCAAAAAATATGTAGTGCAACATTGAAAAACATGCACCGCAACATCGAAAAATATGTACTGCAGCATCGAAAAAATATGTACTGCAACATCGAAAAACATGTACTGCAACATCGAAAAAATATGTACTGCAACATCTAAAAAATATGTGCTGCAACATAAAAAATTATGTACTGCAACATCTCAAGCAGTAGTACTGCAACATCGAAAAAACATCTGTTGCAACGACCTAAAAATCTCATTGCAACATTCGAAAATCACCTGTTGCAACATCCTGAAAAAACCATTGCAACACGGGAGAAACATCACAAAAGCGTATAAAACAGCCCTTGACCCATCACCTTCGAGCTCGCTGGAGGGAGGAGGGAATAGGACCCTACAGCTCGCCGAAACCATAGCCACCGCCGTGTCCCTCAGATCCAGAGGAGGAGGGCTCAGATCCATAGAAGGAGGAGGAGGAGGAGGAGCGCTCAGATCCAGAGGAGGAGGATGAGGGCTTAGATCCAGAGAAGGACTCAACGTACCTCGTTGGAGCCACCGCTGTCATCCTCGGCTCTGGTGGGGATCACATGGAGGTCGCAGAGGGAGGGGCGGTAGTGACCTGGCACGCGGGCAAGCATGCAGCCCGGAGAACGGCGCGCGGCGCGACAACGAGTGGGTTCTGAGGAGCGGGTGAGCGGAGCGAGCGAGTGGGCGCGGGGGTCATGGGATGGGATAAGGAGTCGGTGGACGCGCTCGATCGAGTCGTTTTGTGTGCGGGTTCGTCCGGACGAGACGGACGCCCGCACAGTATCATTATCATTTTATTATATTATGTATGTAACCCATTTTTTTACATATATTATGTATATATTGATATAATAAAGTAAATCAAGTTACTGTGTTTAGTCAAAATATGTTTAGGTTTTGTCTTGCCTTAGGTCTTCAATTACCATTTGCCAGCGCCAGCCCTGGCTCGAAGAGTTATAATCGAAGCAAAACAGACGGAGTCTAGGGACGCAATGCACAGATTCAGTATAGGGATCCATGCGTGCGCAAATGCCACGCATAGCATAGTTGAGGGGACTCTTTTTTTTTTTTAACACTTTTTTTAAACTATTTTTAAATCTGACACTGTTTTTTTTCAAAACTAACACTTTTGGCCGCGCCTATTCGCATGGCGCGGTAAATTCACGCTGACACGCCATGCATGGCGGCGCGGCAGGGGTAGCCACGTGTCAGGCAGCAGCGGCATTGGCCATTGACGTGGCTGGGTTGCCGTGCCGTGGATCATGGTGCGTCGGTGCCGAGCCGCCGGTCATGGTGCGGCCAGGCCCAACATAACCGTCGCGCCGCGGGCTCCCTCCTTGGCTCCCTCCCTCTATCTATCTGGCCGACTGGAAGTGAGGGGGCTCGAGGCGCCCGCGCCGCCGCCTCCCGAGTCCCCCGCCCCCGACTACCACCCTTCCCTCCCTTGCTGCCCCCTCCCTACCTTCCCCAAGCTCCTCGGCCTCAGTGAAGGTAATGGTGGTCTTATTAGTAGTTTGAACGGTGGATTAAGGATTAGGATTGATAGCTAGGGTTTGGAGAAAAATATTAGTTTGAATGGTGGATTCAAGGATTAGAAGTATGTTTACTATGTTTAGTGTAAGGTTTATTTTTGTTCCTATAAGTGTTGGTTATATTACTTTAGTTGTAATTACCATGTTTAGTGTAAGGTTTATTTTTGTTCCTATAAGTGTTGGTTATGTTACTTTAGTTGTAATACAAATGGTTCTCCTTTACATTAATTTGCGATATTTTAATTGTTGTTAAATTACAACCGATTTATTAGATGCAAGACATGTATCGGGAGCAGTTGTGGTGAAAACGGGGTCGTCCTAGAGAATTGTACCCTGACACGTCTAGCAAAGATGCCCCCGTCCCTCCTGACCTCTCTATCCCTAATTGTGATTGTGGTCGTTCGGCCGACGTGTTTTAATCGAGACATGACACAGCGGCTAGTTGCTTCTACACATGTCGTCGTTTTAATGTGAGTAATTGTTTCCGTATGTTTTTTCTTCATTTGTGTTACTAGGTTACTAATATTTTGTTGGAATCTTGTTGTGTAGGCCTATGAGAGGTGCTTTTTATTTTAGTGGATCGATGGTGTAGACAACTTTGACCCAAGGTATCTCCTTTTCGACGATTGTTGGAGAGGGAGACATCCACGTGAGCACTTCGAGCGGTGGGTTCCACCTCCCCCTAACCCTCTGCCAATGACGGCTAAGGAGAAGCACTTAGCCGTAGTTAGACGACTCGAGGAACCTCCTCTGTGGTATTGCAGAGATCGAGCTGTGATAAACCCTGATAATATGTTGGAGTTTGTGTGTCCAAACAAGCATGAAGTAAGTTGACAGTGTATCTGTTAAAATATTGAGCTATAGGTGTTCATGTACTAATGTCACCTCTTTTAGGTGTTTGTATTTGTAAAGTGTTGTTTCAAGGAGTGGCTCTATGGTCCTAAGAATCAATGGCCAGAGCCGCCAAAGGAAAAGGAAAAGGAAAATAAGAAAGAAACGGTAATTTTCAAAGCACCACCTGTCATGTGCCAATGTGGTGTTAAATCCAACTACGACCTAGTCCCTTCGGAGCTTGGAATAGGCCATTATTGCAGCCATATGGTTGACTATGATGAGGTTGGTTATTGTTGTGGAAAACATAAAATCGTATTTTTTTCTTTTGCTAAGACTTATGATCTAATTTTTTGTTTCAACAGAGCACTAAGAAATGCAAGTGGGAATCTTATGATGGTCAAGCTAGGTTCTTGGATGAGTTGAAGGGGAGGCAAGTAATTGCATGGAAGAGTAGTTATGGATCTGACTACATTGACCTGTTCGTTAAACAGCGGAAGAAGGACATGCGTGAGTTTGCTGGACAGCGTGGTATTCGTAACCCGATCGGTGTCAGGCTTGACAAATGGGGGTTGGAGAGACGGAGGGCGTTAGAGGAGGAGAGGGCAAGATAGGCTACAATGGAGGACAAAAGAGTATAGATGCAGGTCTTGAACAACCATGTTGCTGCATTGTGTGCAAGTGAGTCATTGGAAGCCTTGTTATTTTCATTGCCTGCTTTTATATGTAATATAATCGTGTTGCTAACTTGTTGCATTTTATACACGAAGGGATTGGATGCAGCGGAGAGCATGCCGTAGAGGTAGCCCGTGCAAGGTATGTGGAAAAGAAGTTACATAAGCACAGAACATGAGCTGGTCGCAGCATTCTATCTTCGATTGTGTTGGACAATGAGGGGGACGAGGATGAGGACGACACTACCAGGTTGAGTGATATCATCGCTCTAGCAGAGGCGGGCTTGCAGGCGAAGAAGGATGAGGATGACACTGGCAGACTAAGCGAGCTCATCGCTCTAGCAGAGGCGGACTTGCAGGCGGAGGAGGATGAGGAGGTGTTCTTCTCTCAAGCCGCAGAGGCTGCAGATGAAGCGGAGGCCGCTTACTACAGGCGACAGGCAGATCAGGGCAATACAGGTGAGCCTAGCCACAGCAACGAGGTTGTGGTAGAGGATTGGTACTCGGACAATGAGTTGCTTACTCAGTATGTTTCTGGCTGAGTACTTGTGAGTGCGCCGTGTTGTAGTTCCATGCTTTATTAACGAACAATGCCTTATTAATGAAGTATTGATGTACTGTACCCATGTATTGAACATTGTTTCCATGTACTCGGAGTACCCATGTTCGATCCTAAGCAAGTATCTTCATCCCATCCGTTTGTCACCCTCCGATCCATCTAACTATAACCCAAGTTTTTTTTAATAATAACATATATGAGTACCTTAGATGTGGGTTGGAGAGGTTATTTAATTTTTATTTCTATAATGGCACGAAACTTATCTAATCCAATATTGCTTGCAAGACGTGCGAGAAACTCCCTTGGATCGTCACCATATAAGCCATTTCCTACGCGTAGTGTGCCCAGCTTCTGCCATGCCACCACCAGAGGTGTGGCAAGCCTGACGCGCCACCAGCAGAGCCGCGGCAAGCCTGACGTGCCAGAGGCAATGGCGCGGCAGCCTGACGCGCCAGGGCAAACGGCGTGGCAAGGCATGGGTGTTGTTTTGAGTAGAACAAAGCCAAGCACCAGCCTCTACGGCGCATCAATACCACCACTGATGCAGGCTAGAC